ACTTGAGCTGAGGCGAAGTCACAGGCGATATGAAGTAGTAACAGCTGAAAGAGGAACGCCAGTAGCCACGCGAACAAGAGGGAGATCATCGACCACATCTGCACCTTCCACTGCTTCATGAGCAAGTACTGAATTATAAAATATATGATGCTGATGATAAGCAAGCTCAGATTGATCAGCCAAAAGAGTAGCGACCACGAATACAGCGAGTCCAAGTTCTCCGCGGCAATCATCAAATCGTTATGCATACTCAGAATCATCTTTTGCAAACAAATAGAAACTGTCATAATCTCGTTTGCCACCAAAATGTTTAACTCTAACATAAAAATTAGTATTTTATATGCATACGTATAAAATTCTGTATCACATGTTATTATTTTTTATATTATATAGTATCATAATTATGTCACTCTTAAGAAGATAAAATGAAACCTTCTGGCTAATGATCATTCCATTGCCCCTCGCTGACGTAAACGGTAGATTTTGCATCGCAATCGTGTTCAGGTGATGAAACCGCTGGCCTAGAAAAATAGCCATCGCCACGAACTTGTAGATAGCCACCGACGTAACAATATAGGGCATCAAGTATCCCATATTGTCGGTCCATTTCTCTCCGAAAGTGTACATTCCGAGGCGATTAATGGAAATCCAGAGGGCCGCGGTCACAATTACGAGGATCCACGCGACGACCGCGGTCCGCGTCTCTTTGCGAGAATAACCCAATTGTCGGACCTCCTCATCAAAATCTTGTAGCGCATTCCAAATCCTGACGAATCTGCGTCTCGTGAATGTCACCAAGCCCAACTCGTACATCACCACGCTGTAGTTTATGAACATCTGAGTGATTTAATTTTGATCATTACTTTGAACTTTCATTGATTTAAAAACTTAGAATTCAGATGCTTAACTTAGATTTGGAAGAATAATACAAATTAAGATAAAACCATTAAAGCAGATTTTCTCTTCAAAGGATTTAAATAAATAAATAAATTCTTGATTTATTTATTTTTAATAATATATGTATCGCGAGTAGTCTTCTGCTTTATTTTAATTAATTTCTCACCTTTATGTTCACTGTTTTATCAAGAGTCTTGTTTCCTCTCTTGATACTTAGAAATCTGCTAAACACCTGGTAAAATACATAACTGTAGAAAGTAGTGGCGATTGTCGTGAAGATCAGGTTGATGTTCGACGGCACCAGGCGGTCTTGCGAGAAGTTGTAAGGAGCGAAGCCGAACACTCGTACGATATAGATCATCGGCCAGGTGGCTCTGTAAAGAGGCGAGTCTGGACCGCGTAGCTTCTTCAGCTGCTTCTTTTTCACTTTAACAAACACGGTCTTCACGTCAAAAGGAAGAGCGTGTAACTCCATGGCCGAAGGGAAATTGATCGACGACTTTGAATCAACAAGATCTAGCAAATATGAGTTTCTTGATGTGGTACTTCACCAATGAAGTGAAACTTGCATCCGTCTACGAAGTATAGATATTTATCAACACATATCACAATTTGCATATTTAAAGAAAAAAAAACAAAAGACAAGGGCGCATCTTAAGGGTATATTCGAATAGCCCGATTATTAATTAATACAATAATATTCTGTTGAAGAAAAAAAAATAATAAGAATACATTGCAATAGAAAGAATAGATAAATATTGAAAAATAAAAAATAATAACTTTGTATAACTGAAATTAGATTTTATATATTAATTAGTTGTTTAAGCATAAACATTAAAAACATAAAGTTGCAAGGTGTAATAATGTGAATTGAATGTGCGCGCTGCTCTAATCCACCGACCACCCCATGGTTCTCCCGAAATAAAAAGCGAATAATTTGCTCATGTCAATCTATCTGCGATCCGCGGTGATCGACGAGACTGAGCGAAGCTCGGCCTCGCTTTTTTTCGTTCTGGGGACCGCGAGCTAAGCACACATCTGACACATCTGAAGGGCCGACGCAACCACCTTTGAATCTCTCCGATCGGCGACCGAACTACATACGGGTCTTGATCCCGGTCCGCCCTGCATATTATCAGCGAATCAAGGAGAAGGAAGCGAAGGTTCCCGGAAGAAGCGAGAGAGCCAACGAGGGAAGCCCAATATTTTATATTATACAAGCACACAGTGACACAGATGAGTACCTTATTGTAAATCCGAATCATAACCGGCACGTGACGGTCACCTCAGCGTGAATGAAGAACGGTATGCGTGAGCGAGTGGATGGTACGCGGTTTAATACGTAATAAGAAAATAGCATTGTAATGTGGCGCCGAAAGTAGAAGTAAAGACGTCGTTGTAATAGAAGTACGAGTTTGATTATTTATTGTCCATTCCTATCGAGAAACTGAGTCGTCGTAGTTTCGTCAGGCAAAGTAAAGATCTTACAAAGTCTAAAATTTCTGTGAATTATTCATACTATGCTCCATTCTTCTCATCGTGAGAATTTTGCTGTGACGTTGTTCCTTCGTACATACAGATCTGTTGAAGTTAATTATTTGTCAAAGTCGATTATAGTGTGAAGAACGCGGCGCGAAAGCAAAGTTTACAATCGCAGGAAGATCGATAATGTCGCTTTCAATCAGGGTCCATCTTCAATTTCGTGAGTAAACATTGAATCAACGAAGTCCTGAAAAGTCTGTGCGCTTTTGCTTGGTGTCTCGGAAATCACCACGTTCATCGATCAATTGCATTGTCCTAGAAAACGTAACGTCGTGGGACAATGTGAAGCTACGATAAATAAAACTGTAGGAAGAAAAGTAACGAAAACGGAGTCTCTACGTTTTTCTTACTCTTTTCCCCACAGTTTTATTTATCGTGGATTTCCTCCCACCGAACATATGAAGAACTGGCATACGAGAAGAAATGGCATAAATCCAAAGAAAGAAGACAAGTTTATTCTTCTCTTAAGCCGTAGCGCCTCTTAAAACGCAGTCGATCGGGCGCGATAAACTATTACGTTCGCAAAATCCTGGAGCACTTCTCACTCTTTATTTCGGAATTTAAGCGAATTTTAACGTGGCCTGAGGGCTATTCCAGAACTGTCGTAATAGCTCGAAACTTTTTCCGCGAGTTCGACGTCAACTTTCCCCAACGACGAGAATGTTATAAATCCGGAAAATGTATAACCACGCCGAGAGATATAGAAAGAATAAGAAGATTTATATAATCTCGGAAATAGTACATATTTGCGTCGAACTTCAACGTCCTAAAAAAATAAACAGCCGAGCTTCCGGCCGAGATCCCAATGTATTTACTGGGATTCATCCCTTCGCAACCGCGATGCACGCCGCGTAAATCATTACGTCGCGTAAATTGGAAATTTTCGGGAATTTTCAGCCGGACCCGCGTGTACTCACACTGCGCGACAGGTCGCGTCGCTCGAAGCGCATTGATTGCCAGGACGACGACGTCGCGAGACTCGCGAGGACTACGAGGACTCGGCGTTTCATGGCGCTTTCGTCACGCGCGATAAAGCAGTATTAGAGTCACTCACGTAAGCATACCCGCGAGACGAGCACACAAACACAATGTACGCGCGCGAATACCACCGTTAAATATTATTTCCAAATGAATAATTGAACAGCGGAGGAGAATAACAGGTGGAGATAACCGGTCGAAGCGCTCGCGTATAATTATAATTGTACAGCACGAAGAGACAGCCTGTTTGTATTCAAGGCCATGCCGCGTCGCCGTATACCGATTTTATTGCACGAGATGTGTACTCCAATTCCTTTCGATTCCCATAAAACTTTTATAAAACGAAGAGAGTGAATGAATGATTTTCCCTCAAGAACAGAATAATGAATACATATGTCATTGATTTCTATATATAAATAATAATTTTGAAGAATTTCATGTCTATTGCAGAAATATAACATGAAATGATAATCGAATAATGATGAACTGTTTTTGAAATATACATAATTCAAGAAAAACCTATTTTCGATTATATATCTTTGTGTAAAATAATTTTGATAAATTATATATGTATTGTACGTATAAATATATGTGTATTCTGGTATAACGTAAGATAATTGTATGTATAAAAATATATGTGTATTCTGATATAACGTAAGATAATAATGAAAAAAACCGTAACATCAAGACCGTAACACAGAAAGTAAAATAATAAACAAATTATAACATGAACTTTCCTGCTTGAGAGAACGCGAAGAGACGTTGAATGTAGTCGAGCACCATTAAACGTGAATAAATAGCCCGATATTAGACAGAGAAAGTCTAGGGTCTCCAGAACTATTCCGTTCGGACAACGCTCCCGAGAAATGTAATTTAACGTCGACGGACGATATGTGGACGAATGCTGGAAACAGTGTGGTAGGAACGAAACGTATTTTCATATATTTACTCGGCGAGTGATGAGACCACATACCAGCCCCAAAAATAATGCAAACGACGTAAATAAATTCCGTACATATAGACTGGACGTTTTTAGCAAGTAATTTTTTCTTTGTTATTTCTATAACTGTTTATAAAAATGATTGTTTATAAAAACTGATAAAATATTAATTGGCTAATTATCTGGATAATAGAATTATTTAAACTTTGTCAGTTATTGGTCTGATTGAATTATTAATCGATTGATATTAAATGCAATACAAAATACAAGAGTTAACAGATCGAAATAATATTCCTCTTGACAACAGAAACGAATTTCGGTGGAACGTTTAGCAAATTGTTCACTGCAGTATGCATATTAATGTCGCACGGTAATACTCCACAGAATTAATAATTAGTAGGGCACGATATTACGAAGACATTAAGCAGCGAGTGATTTAATTTAAGTTAAGCTTAAGTTTAACTTAAGTAGAATTGCGCCAGTAGATATACTCTCTTTGATCTTGTCGCTGTATGTTTTCCTCCCACGGCAAAGTTTAATTGGAACGAAAAAGAAGAATTGTCAGTGACCGGAAGAGTAGAGCGAAAAGGAGTGCTTTTAAAGGACAATGCCGTGAATGCTGACGGCAAATACTCAGCGTCGCAACGTCACTGTTCCCGTTTCTCATGCAATTATATGGAAACGACGAAAAAACTTGGCGACGAGACGACTGAATGCCACCATCCAGAAATAGTCTGCATATTAAGAGAATACACATGTCACGAAAGGGACGTGTATTAAGAGCGATAAGTTGCGAACATTCAAGCGCTCTCGGTCTCCGGCGATCTCGGAATAAAGTGCGAGAAAAGTATTCACGTCCGTCCGCGGTGTCCACGTTATAACTTCTCTTGAACGAAAATTTAATATAAATGAAGAGGGAAAATGGCCGGTGAGTTGCGAGCGCGTTTTGGGTTTTTATCTCGTAAAATTCATTTCGAGAAATAAATTCTTGAATAAATTAGATTCTATCTAAAAGTATAAGAACGCAAACTGAATAGAAATTCTCGGCAAATTTTTTTTCATGTAAGTTTAATTATTGATTTAATAAATTTTATTCTAACTGGATAAGACAAATTAAACGAGATTTTGCGGATTGAGGAGGAAAACCGTTCCATGTCCCCTATTGTTTAAACGCCTCAAGATTATCGTTTGTTTACTGCCGTTTATGTCACCCTTCGTTTCGACAACCAATTAATTATTCCGATCAACGCGAGTGATTAAATCCACCGAATCCAAATAATGGAATGGCTTGATTTTCAGCTGAAAACTTGTTCGAAGAATAAACGCTAATCTCATTTCGTAAAATCGCGTTCTGCGCCACTTTCCTGTCATTATTTGCAACTTTTAAGACATTTTCGCGAAAAGTAATAATCGCTTCAAAAACATTATATCTTTGCTGAAACTCATTAAAACCTGTTTTTTATAAAGTACTCATTTGGATATTTTTCATTAAATTCAGAAATTAATTAATTAATGTTTTCAGAAGAAATATGAGTAAATACATATAATTTTTCCGTGAAAATATTTTATTTTACTTTTACGTATTACGCCATGAAATTTGTTAGATTTATTTCTTGCTGATTCGTTTATTTAAAATAAAATGTACGCATGCAGTGAAATAATTCTGATTGAATTCACTTTAGAGAACTATATTAAACGTTTTTTTAAGAAATTGTAATGATTATTTCGCTCTAAGAAAAAATAATTAAAATCATAACAATTATTTTAACCATTATACAAGTCACATTAAATTATATTAAATTAAGTTTAATTAGTTTAAATTCACAAACCATGACGTAGAGAATCCTATAAAGTATTATCTTTATTTTCATTTTTATTTTAAGAAAATGCTTATCTCTCTAAGGGCCGGTCGTTCCAACCTGTTAATAAACTAACTAGCAGTTAAGTCACATATATGTCTTTGTTTATCCTTTACATTAGACAAAGATAGACATATATGATTTAACTATATTAGTTAGCTTACCAACAGGTTGGAACAACCGGCTCTTTTAGTAACCCAAAATTATTTGTATGCCTGACGTGTGTATACATATATGTATACAGTACACATACATGCACACTCAATTCCCGCGTGATTTACTGGAGAACCTTTCTAAAGAATTTCGAACAGAACGAAACGAGAGCGCGGCCGAAGCTTAATGTATCTGTCAACGCGGTTTCCCGCGGGACAGTCGCGAATCGCCCGTTACGTGTCTGTCCGTCAACAACTTTTAACCCCAATAGACCCAACCCTGTCCCGTTTCAACCACAATCCGCAAAAAAAAATCTCCCGGAACATCAAGTCTGACAGCACGCGAGGCCATAGAGGACCGCTCGAGCGAATCGAAATGTCCTGGAACTCCTGGAAGCCATACACCGAATGCGACACGGCCGTCATGAGAGTGATCAAAGACGATCTGTTGAGATGGACCTGCAAGAGACACGCTGCCGGTGATCCCCTCGACAGGCATCTCCTACGTGACAAGGCCCTCGAATTGGCTGGCGAGCACGGACTGACTGGCACGTTTCCTGAGAATCCCCTCATCCCCTCCCCCGCATTCCCGCGTTGCTTTAAGGGCTCGAGGCACGAACGGGGTTAATCCGACGGTCCACGAAGACTGTTCACTTATTCCGTATCGCGTAACAATCGAAGGGATAATAGGCTCGTACCGTGATATATAGCGGTATCGAATGTACCGTTTAGCTCAGGAGAAAAACGATGCCTTTTCCCCGAGATTGGGATTTTCGTCTTATTCCCCCGCCTGGAAGAATAACATCCGTCCTCTCTATTTCTTTTTGACCCTGTACACAATTAACTCTGCTCCCTATATAGAGCAACATTCAAATATTGTAAAAAAAAACTTATGTTATTAATGCATGTTATTAATGCGTGTATTATTAATGATATTTGCGGGGATATTTCCCGGGTAGCAAGATGACGTCTAAAGACGTCTTAATGACGTTAGAGACGTCATTAAGACGGAATTAATACGTCATTTGACGTCACTCTGCTACTTGGGTTAACATCGTTGTAACGTCATATCACATCCCAGCAGACATTAATAAATTGCATGCTATAATTTCCTACTCAACAATGTAAATGTAAATGCAATATATGTTGAGTAGGGAATTATAAGCATGTAAATTGCATGTTACTTGGCATTTGCTGGGATTTATAAGTTTCTCCCTTTAAATCGTTTACTTTTGATTTCCGGTTAGACTTTAAATGTTCCGAAAAGTGGCTGACGTCTTTCTTGAAGAGATACGGCTTCTCGCTGAACTTGGAGGAACCCTCCGGGCCGATTTTCAAGGACTACCGACTCTGGATCGACATGATGCGATCCATTATCACGCGATACAAGCACAAAGACCTATTCCACGTGGACGAATTGACGATGTACTCGGACGTTTCGCCTACCGGGTTATCGGTGTCACCGACGCGGCAGGATGAACTCGAAACGAGTTTGAAAAAGACGACGGTACTGTTGTGCTGCAACGCCTCCGGCACCGAGAAGCTGCCGCTATTGATCTGCGGCTCTTATCCCGCCGCGATAATGGGCAAGGATCACATGTACAGTCACAGTGAGGACGCTTCAATAAACGACGGTCTCCTCAGGGAATGGTTGACCCGATTGAATTGTCGTATGTCGAGCAGCGGTCGAAGGATTTTGCTGCTGGTGCACAGGAATCGCATCGGTTCTTTTCGAAATTTTAAATTGAGCAACATTAGGCACGTGTTTTTCCCCGACGATTTCCCGCCGTCGTTGAGGCCTTTGAAGAGAGACGTCTTCCATTTCGTCAAGATGGCCTACAGACGCAAGTACGTTCATGAGGGGATCTAGAGCAACTGTTTCTATTAATTTAAACAGTTTAAGAGTAGTCATAAAAGTTAACAATTTTTTTTTTTAAATTGACTTGAAATTCGTCATCAGCACCATAAAAAATCTCTCTGTATAAACTCTCTATATAAACTTTCATTAATTTTCGAGAATCTTTTGTTTTTGATATTTTAACATTACTCGAGGAAAATGGTGTGGCACTCAAGGGGTTAATAAATTTTAATGCTCCAAGATTTGATAATAATGTAAAGATTCTCAGGGGTTTCATGCAAAAGACGCAAAAAGACCGTAGATCAACCAGAGCAGGCTGCAGTAATTTTATGTGCAAAATATAAGACTAATAGAATGTAAAATTTTCAAAATTTCTCTCATCATGTTTAGACAAAACTTTCGAAAAATGTAGAAATACCTTTTGTGTTATAAACAGAAGCTCGCGCTTCAAAGACTTAATTATCTCGCGAGGGAACTATCGGAAATATTCGTCGTAGGTATGTGAAAGGAATCAGAGGAGACAAACGCCGATGGAATGTCGAGAACGTAGTGAGAAGCTTGATGGAAGCGTGGAGGGAAGTCCCGCGCGATCTCATTATCGCCAGTTTTCAGCGAACGGGCTTTCGAACCGACAATTGTTTCCTGAGAATTCATTGCAACGCGTGGGAGGACCTGGAGACGGGGGTGTCTTTCAGAAGATTCGTCACGTTCGACGATTATCTCTCGGCTAATGCGTCGCATAAACGGTGCGAATCCACCGGCAGGAGTCACAGTTATAATTTCAGGCCTAGAAAAACCGTCAGATTCGACGATGTGCCCAATTTCGCGATCGATTCGAGCAGACGGGACCTGATTGTTGGTCACGCCCAGGTGAATGGAAATTTAAAAGAGATCTATGTGGAAAAGGACATCGATTGCGAGGGAAAGAAGGTAAAGAACTTGCTGAAGAGATCGCATGACGAGGCTCAATTAGACGAAGACCTTTGCGAAGAGGCGAAGTCGAGCGATGAATCACTGTCGGGGAAAAATGAAGATATCATCGTTATTCCAACGTCGGCGAGGCCTCCGAAGGTCATCGACATCCGGACGATCGAAAGTACAGCTCGGGGCTCTAAATCCGGTGACGTACGCCCGACGACGACGCGAGCGAGCCTGGACGAATCGAGGACGCATACGGAACGCGATTGTACGCTCGATAAAACGGCCAATAATGAGGAGAAGTGTAAAAATAGCCGAGTGTTGAGCAACGTGCGATCGATCGTAGGCCCGGAGGTCGACAATATCGCGAACGACGACATCAGTGTCGCGTTGCAACAAGTGTTCGACGATACGTCCGCCGTCGATTCGGACGCAAAGGAGCCGAACGTGAGGGTAGTTTCCCGCGCCAGCCCGAGAGACGAGATAGAGTCGACCGATTCGGGCGGAAATGTCGGGTGTTTCCCGCAGAAGTCACTGAAAAGGCATTCTGTCAACGCTGAGGAATCTCGAGATAATTCTAACGACGGTGAACCGGAGCGGAAAAGATCGAGATCCGATTCCGATTGGATGAGGCGGTACGAGACGGCGTTCGTCTTCGGCCCGTTTGACTTAGCGTGGACCGTAACCACTGTTTCCGCAAACAGTGACAATGGCGTACCGCAATCAGTGAGACCGAGGCGCTCGTGCGAGACGGAGAGGAGTATCTTTACCATAAGGCCCAGGAGGGACTAAAGACGATCCTCACAGCAGCTTATACAGTGAGTGAATGTATAATTATAAATGTATTCTTTGAAAAAAAGTAACAAAACAATAATCGTAATATTATAACTTTCCTATACATGTTTCGAAGCTTTGTGTAATGAAGATACATAAAAAGACGATAGAGGATAATTTATTGATTTCAATGAAGTTCTGATTCGATTTTATTGATCGATATTTTTATTTTTTCTGTATGCTATCTTCTTTTTATCTTTTTTCTAATATGTTACTATAAAAAAAATAAACCCAAAAAAATAACGCCATTTTCTTAAATTTAGAGAAAGATGACGGATCTGGAATCGGAGGGAATCAATCTAAAAATCTACAGAGACTCGTGTGCAATCAATTACAGTTTAAAAAACAATGAAAGTTATAACGCTATTAAATTATAAATCTTTCACGCAATATTTCTCATCGATGAATGTACTCACGTTCGGCAACGATTTATTATGATCTATGACGGACCACAGTCGTTACGAAATAAACGCTTGAAGAAAAGAAAACTACCTGCGAATCATTATTTGTAGAATAGGGTATAACATAGCGCGCGCTATACAGAGACAGGGAGAATTCTCCTCGCGCGTAAACTCGTGTTTTCTCGCGATACGCAATCGAGCAAGCAATATGGGACTTACAGTTTGAGCGAAAGTTAATAGTTTTCCCGGTAATTCGCGAAATGGCGGCTCCGCCCACGTGGAAAATTACATCGCCCCGGAAACACATCAATTCAGACTTGAGGCCCTATTGTGCGCTTCCGCCGGATTTCTTCGCCGGATGCAATTTCCCCGGGTCGCGTTTCCGTACGAAACGAAGTTGCGCTGCCGTCCAAGGATTCGTAACGGGGGAAGGACGCGATTCCCCCCCGGACGACATCCCCAACTCTTGAATAATACGACCTGTACACTCGGCGCGCACACATCGCGCTGCACGCTGCGTGAGCGACGCTGAAGGATTAATAGCTTGTCGTCACAGAAGGCCGCAATAATTTACAGTCAGAACCAAGAAGGGGAAATTATGACTAAAGCGATAAACAGATTACTTCGCGTTCTAATAAGAGGAAGACAACTTTCAATTTAAAATTATTTAAGTTTATGTATAAAAAAGCAACTAATTTGATGCTTTGATGCAAAAGAAATTGAGCCAATTAACAAAAAACATACATACACAACAACAAAAAATCTTTTGTTCTATATTTCAATATATCGATATATAATTTGAATTATTACTTACAATATCTGCTAAGTAATTAAATTATTATTCTTTAGATTATATGCAAATTATTAGATAGTGTTAAGTACCTGCTAAATAATTAATTATTAAACTATTAAATATTATTTATTATTAAATAAATCTGTTCAACTTAAAATTGCTAAAATTAAATAATTATTTGCTCAATATAATAAAAATTGGCTAAATAAATTCATTTATTTGTTCAATTTTTAGGATAAATATTTTATTCAAATTTTAAGGAAAGCCCTTCCTCCGCCAAACTCTCATTTAAAAAAAGATAAGAAAAGATTTATTAAAGATTCTATAGAGACATTAAGGCATTCTAAAATATACTAATTAAAACTGACCTTTTCAGCCGAGGACACTGCAGAGGACGGTGTAGAATCCATCACCGCCTACTCGGATTTTTTGTTGTTATCAGACTGTAGTATATGTATGCATTTTCGTATTTTGTAAGTTACACGTATATCCTCTTCAAGAGTACGCTTGCATGAAGACATTTAATGTGCTTGCTTCTAGCTGCACGAAAGACATCATACACACAGCACATGGGCGAGACGCAATTTATCATCTTGCAACTTAGCAACCGTCGTTACACTCAACATAATCGATTTCCGTTGCCATACTCATTCGAGGATATGAGCGTAGATCTCGAGTATTCTCAGCATAAAGTGCACTTTAGACGATAGATAATTCACAACAAAATATTATTTTTGTGATTTTATAAATCTTATAAAATTCCAAGAATCGCGATTTCAGGAAGTCTCGAAATTTTTAATTTGCGGACTAACAAATATAAAAATTTAATTTTTCGAAAATCGATAAAATTGGTAAATATAGGAATTAGAAGGCATACATAAAATTCCAAGCACTAAAATTCCAAAACCTCCAATTTTATTTATTGCTTCCTTCGTTTTTTTGGTCTGTGCATTATAACTAAGATTATGATATAGAAAGGAGCAGGATTAATTAACTGTTACTATAATCCAATTCCAATCTTTATAAATGATCCTGTATAACAGTTACAAGTGTAACAATGCGGGCGATTATATTCTTAAAGAGAAAGGAATCAATGTTAATCATCGATTATGATATAGAAAGGAGCAGGATGAATTAACTGTTACTATAATCAAGTTCCAATCTTTATAAATGATCCTGTATAACAATTACAAGTGTAACAATGCGGGCGAATATATTCTTAAAGAGGAAGGAATCAATGTTAATCATCGATTTCTTTCTCTTTAAAGCTTAAACTTTTGTTCTGTTCTATATAAAGGAATTAGCACTTTTTCACCTTTCTCCTTCTGAATAAAATATAATAAACACAACTTATATCATATCAAAGATGTATATAATATATAAATATAAAAAGATTTAGAGATTACAACTTGTATACGTATGGTGTAAAAATATTTATATTATGCCTAACTTGTACTATTAATATTGTTGCAAATACAGTGTAACACGCATTTCTCTTCATATTTTTTACATTCCAAGTACTATCGCAATTCCTATAGTTTCATTTATGGTACAATACTAACGTGCTGGAGCATCAATCATGCCCCGAGGACGTAATGTATTTCACGTACAAATGCACACACGCGCATGAAGTGTGCGATCCGAATCCGGAAATACCCGAAGGGTATTTTATTTTGCCGAGATCGAGTCGAAACTTATGATAATGATCACAAATCCATTTTTGTAAGAATTCTATTGAATTGTGCACTCATATGTTCTCCTATATCTTTTAGAAGACTATTATAATCTGACATTGCCTTTTGACACGGCTGGGAGACTATCTCGATTTTAAACTCTGTTGATTCCATCAATTCTCCTAGATTTTTTAGAACAATATTACAAAATGAAATTACCTTTTGCAGTGGCTGGAACTTTTTCTTGATTTCAGACTCTATTGATTCCTTCCATTGATCTAGCTCAATCTGAATCTGTAGAACAAGATCCTGTGATAGTCCTTTAGGAATATTCTGAATTTTCCTCTGATAAGAAACAGAGAGTTGGTCTTCTAAATTCTTAATCATTGCCAAGTTTGATAGGATCAATTTTGATCCTAAATCTGATGGTTCCTGAATAGAGGTTGAAACTTCAGTAGAGGGTTGTATATTTGCTCCATCTGGATCATCATCAAAAAGAATGTCACAAATACTGCTCACAGAGTGAGTCGAAACTTATGATAGAACCACGTCTTTCTACGCTAATATCTAACTTAACTGAGATACACCTGCAACCCCCAGTTCTTTCTTTAACGTTCGTTTTTCTCGATAAAGGTCATATTACTTAAAGCGAAACGGAAGGGGATAATTCGCGTCGATTACTATTATTATGACAAACGTGTAAATATGTAGGCTCGCAAGGTAAATGTATCTGATATGCTTGAATGTCATTTATTGACGATAAAAATCGAAATAAGCACTTGGACTTTTATTACTGCAAAATTTGATATATAAACGTCTATAAAATAAATAACTTTAAGGCAAAGATATAAAATCAACTTATTTAGCAGTCCAAATATATATATATATGTGTGTGTGTGTGTGTGTGTGTGTGTGTGTGTGTATATATATATATATATATATTTAAATTTCTCCAATTTTTGTAAAATTTCAATAATGTGTAATATCTTAGTTATTATATATTTATTATATCTATCAAATAACAATTAACATGATTTACAGTATCATTTATGTATAAAGCCTAGTTACGTAAAAATTTCCAGATATTAAAATAAAGTTATTTATTTAAGAAGGGATTTTTTTAACATTTCATTAAGATTTTATTAAAGATAATAGGAAATATCACATAGAATTACTAATGTAGTAATTCTTTGAGGTAAAGACACATGTGGAAACAGAGATTTGTCAATATTTTCAATCACCTAGCAATTCTATATCACGATATTGAACTTCTTGAATAACAGACAGTGTTTTCTGCAGTATTTCGGCATGCACCGCCGATTCATCTTGATCGGCGTTTATAACGATCCACGTATCGTCTTTCAATTTCTCGTAATTGGCGTCGACTCGCTGTTGAAACTCGTCATGCTCAAACCTTTCCTTTCCCCAATCGCTGCGCAGCTCCTGTTGTCGCTTCGATACTTTGAGAAACACCACGCAGTCCGGCTTTGGAAGACCCATATCGGCCTGCTGACACCAGTTGATACTTCTGCTGGTGTTGGCTGCCGTATACGCAGCACCAGAAGCTGCGTATCTGTCCATTATCAGAGTGACGCCGGATCGAAGCGTTTTCTCCATGTCCTCCTTGCACTCCCAGCGATTGGCAGAGAACAGCAAGTGAGCCGCCTCCGGTGGCACGTTTATCTCTTTGGACAAGAAGCTATTTAGGATAGTTCCAACTGGGGTCTTTCTGTCTGCAAAAGAAGCATAAAGAAGAATAAAAAAGAATGAAGAAGAATGAAGAAGAATAAAGAAGAATAAAGAAAAATAAAATAATGTTTCTCCAATTACAATTAGAGCTTAATATAATTTTTATTAGACCAAGATTTCTGGGTTATAAATAATTTATTTATTTATTCTTCGACTAACGTAATTAATTCTGTAACAGAATCAATTCTTTTTACTGTCGATTCTCTGCTTTTTCAAACAAATGCGATACAATCCATCGAGTTTGTGCTTGCGCCATAGTCGTCACTCCACATGATCCATATATGTAACAATAACAATGACGATGACACAACAAATATAACAATGACGAACAATCAACATCCCGGATTATATATACGTACTTCATAAATTGTTATTTTTCGATATATTTCGCTAATCGATGGATTGATTTGGATTTACCAATAGAAGGAACTTTTCCCGCGCAAAATAACCTAATTTCACGACACGCGGTCTACTCACTTGGAAATGCTCGGGCCTTCGCGAGGATGTTCAGATCGTTCAACGCGTTCATCAGCATCTTCACTTGGGTCGACTTACCGGCCCGGTCGCAACCCTCCAAAACTATCAACGCCCCACGTTTATACATGTTCGAATATTAAATCGCGAACGTGACAACGCTGGACGGGCTGGACGACGCCAGCTGACGATGCCAAAAATAGAATGGTCTTGGGCTTGGTTCCCCACTTCCCCTTCGAACTCCGAACCGTCAACCTCGGTGATTCGAACATCTGTGCACTACACCCATCTAGCGGCTGGAAAGGATGAAGATATTTGCCGGATGATAACTGCTTCATATCTACAGAATAAAAACACCCCAAAAAAATAGAAGATATCTTCTTGCGAAAAGAAATTAAAGTGAAGCTTATTCTTGCGATTAGCTAAAAATTCGATTTTTTTAATGTACAACTAAAAATCTTTCTCTTTGGTGCGAATTTTTTACTGTTCCGTTGAACAAAGATATATCATCACAATTTATATTCTGTTTATATTTATAATATTTAATTTATATATATATAAATTAATTAATCTTTACTTAACATTATAATCTTTAAAGGATTATTAGTTTTATAGGATTATTAGAGGGTTTAAACATAGCTTTGTGAATTGAAGGATCCCTCTCATTTACTTTCGCCGTTTTCTATAACGATTTTTGAATTGTTATTATTACCTTCGGCAGAAAACTGGGATTGCGGTCAAGTAAATAAAAGTCGTGCGTGCGAAATATTTTTTAACACATTATTTTATTTAGTTTTTTCTTCTTAAAAAAAGAATGAACTTGAAATCTCGGTTGTCGGGTTTTTTTCATTTGGATTCTGGCGAGTAATGGGCATTTTCGAAGCGACGGTACACACTAAGTTTGCAAATTGAACTAGCTATAATATGTATATATATGTATATATGTATAATATTTATATATAAGATAGGTTTTTCGCTTCTCGCGCGTTTTCAGCATAGTACATCAGTAGCGATGCATAATATTTATGTCTTTATATTCTCCCTGTTGCTCTGTTTTTATTTTTTTTCACTCACTCTCTCTCAGGTTTTCTCTCGTTCTCTTATTCTTGCATGCACGCTCTTTAATTTTTTTTCTCATTTATACACTAACACATTTTCCAAATATCGGTATTTTCGAGGGCTTTAAAGAATTATGATAGATATTTTTCTCACTCAATATTTCTCTCTCTTTCTCTCTTTTTTATTCTCCCTCTCTTCCTCACTCTCTTTCTCTCATTCTCTCAGCACACCGCATATAGATATTATTGGCAGAGGTACATTTCACGTGCATAACGTGTATTTAATTTCTTGAAGAAGAGAAATGAGACATATAATCGTGGCATCACGCGTGCGTCTTTATAAACTACGATTTTTTTATACAATTTGAATTTCATATTTTCCTTCCGCCGTGCGAATAAGAATCGTATAAATATTCGAACGTAATATTTGATAAAATATTTCACACGTCTAGAATTTGACATCAATTCGTTATGCTTTGATGAATTTACAGGCGATAACTTCGAAAATTCGCTGGAAGTTTGTTTCACGAGCTTTTCTAAATTTTCAATGTTAAATATATCTCGTTTTTTCACTTTGTTGAATTAAAGTTAGAAAGAAATATATTTCAGGATCTCTAAAAAGTATATGAGTAAGCTAATGCCCACTTATTATACTGGCGCATTTTAATTATAGTAAATAAGTTTAAACATCAAATCACTTTGCGATTAGGTATTGTACGTCGTAAAGTTTTCTTTAAATAAACTTCACAATTTCATCAAAGAATCTATGGCGCGAAAGAAAAGAATACTGTTGCACAGTTTACAGATAGAAACAACGGAAGAAATAAGATTTTTCTTTCAATTACAATTGGCTGGATCTTGTATTAAATTCAGCATGACGCCCGCGCGAGCGTACGATGATTATATTATTAATTGCTAAATATAATAACAATACAATCAATATAATAACGATACAATCTCTTCGCTCGATCTCTTATTCTCAGAAAAAACAAGTATTCCTTTTTTTTTAGCGTTTTCGCGTACGTTTACGTCTACGTGTATGTATAGGTAATATACAGTAAAACTTTTTACAATGACAGGAAGCACGACGGGACGCCGCGCAGCGCGCCCGAGATCGCCACTTCGCGCGAATTTTCACCCTGGAGGAACCCGGCTTTTCGGTTTACGAGACTCGCTCTGAATTCTCGAGCTCGCGAAGAAGGACAAAGGAGCTTTCTCGTGAATTCTCGAGCCCGAATTTTAGCGTCTTGTAAATTTCTCGGAAATTCTCGGCAAATTTTCGATCTCTCACGAGCTTGAATTACATGCTGCGCTCCTCCAGCGTGCCAAGTCATCTGACCGCATTAAGAGAGATAGAAAGAGACAGAAAGAGAGAGAGAGAGAGGGGGGAAGAAAGAGAGAGAGAGAGAGAGAGAGAGAGAGAAATAGAGAAATAAGTAGAAACAGTCGGAATCGTGCCAGACGATCGCACGCATGGCAGCGTCGATCTTTCTTCACCACCGTCGTGCTTCCGCATTCGTGCATCACGACGCGCATTCTTCTGCGCGTACCCTTTTCTTAAATTAGTTTATTTTAAAGTTAAAGCTGTCAATTTTTTCACTTTTTCTCGAAGCTTTTTACACGAAGCTCGCAATGGCACGCGGCTATCAAAGCCACTAGCGTCGCGCGTTTAGCGCTCAATACGGAAAGCTGAACACGAAAGTTGAAATCGATTTTTGCTTCAACATCCCACAACAAGTATAATCGATTTTATATACGTTATATTCGCTTCAATCATCTTCGTTCTGACTCTGTTTAAAATTCGGAGTCGCATTTTTAGCGCTAAACGCGGGACGCGAAGACGAGCTTCTCGCGACATGCGACGATACGACACTCATTTTATTCCTTTTATTCGTTTTTCCTTCGCGTTTAGTCGCTCATATGTGTTCGTTGCAACATCTAATATGTATACGCGATACACACACGCACGCACTCACGCATACGTAACATAATTAAACACAAACCAGCGGTTGCTCGCTTCCCGACTCGTCAACTTGTTCTGGGTTTCCGTCTCTTTGCGTTCCTTTCCTGCCTTCATCCGTTTCGTCTTTACGCTTCTATTTTTTCGATCACTGGACTTTTTGATTTCTAAATTTGTGAGGCGACGACGAAATCGCAAAGGCGCGATGATCTTCATATACGGACGAAGCTAGGGATTTGCACAGCGTGCCGAATTACAATTCATTTTCAGACAATATGTATGTCCAAAAGATGCATAAGACATGTCAAAACGGTTTGGAAGTAAACATTTAAATAATATATATATAAATGATATGTAAAATTCTCTTGTGTTGAAACATTTGTTAAAAGAGGGAAAAGAGAAATATGATCTGTATAATAAAAATTACATTATCGATTAGATATTATCTAATTTGAGTCTGACAATCTATATTCTAAATTGATTAGTCAAATTAAATGCGTTACTGATTTGTTATCGCAATCGATGCCCAGCTGCCTTTTCATATTTTCATCGAATGTCCGAACTATATATGGAGATTCGAAAGAGCTTCGCGATCTCCTCTCTCCACAGTCTCTATTATTCTAATATCTTCCTTCTGATCTGATATCTTCCTCGCGCGTTTCGGGTATTCTAGTTTTGCGAACGCGTAATATTAAGGCAACTCTTGTTACTAATTAATAATTTACTGTGTGTTACGATTTTTTTCTCCCATTTTCTCCCTACGACCTTTACGCAACGAAGAAACGTTAACACTGATTTTCGGATTCTTCGGTTTCTCGAATGTACATTCAGTACACTCTACCATACGAAACTACGTTACATTCGGACGCCGCGTGCACAAGTGTCGACAAAATATTGAAAAATTACAACTAACTTGGCTATTCAGGTAAAATTGTATACAACAGATAAAATTGTTATAGAAGTTTATCTCCAATTAGATAAAAATTAATTAAGTAAGAATAATTAAACATACATAAAATTATAAAATGAAACTAAATAAGTAAAAATTAATTTTTATATTTACATTTTAGAGAATACTTTATTATCCATGTAATTATGTACTCTGACGTTTATCATGGCTTTCATGTCGGATGCTAATAAATATATATTGTGTTCTGACTTTACTCTTTCAATTCGCATCTTTAATTTTTAAATACTGCGATACCCGCGTCCACGCATGTACCAGAAAGTAGAAACGGGAAAGCACTCCGACCGGAAGAAATTGACGTACAACGATTCCGTCTTCTGCACTTCAATTCGCTAATCACGTTCATATACCACGGCTACACATATGACTTAATTAGATGACTTAATTAGATTCAGCAGATTAGATTCACAGATCAACGGGTTTAAACCTCTTGGATATATTTATAATATGTATATATATGAATAGAGATCGGCATAATATATATGTATATTTATATGTATAGTGTTATCGACGAGATTTTTCGATTATTTGCAAAAGTATGAAACTCTACGGAGCCTCGGCATCGACACGCCGAGAGATTATTCTAGCGACGAAAAATTTCTCTCCTTCACATTCGCCTCTCCTTTCTCTCCTGCGCCTCTTTTTTTTTTGCTATTATGATTATTTATTATCGACAGGGCGTTCAATATGTCTCACACTATACGCTTTCAATATTCGTTTATACCAATTATATATATATATATGCACAACATGTATGCGTGTATCCTTTACGTGTTATATATATTTATAGACTAGACGCATCATATATTATGTCGTATTTATATATTTATATATGTATAGATAAAGTAGAAAAACTTAACGATAATAATTTTCTCTCTTCTAGTTTCTTCTGTCTTTATTCGTTACTCGCCCGAGAAAATCTCGCGCTTTATTAAGTTCCTAATCCCATCGCGGTTATACGTTTACGTTATAGATACAAGTAATGAAGTTATACGTGCGCACTGCGCAATTCATTTGTGTATACTCCTCTCTTACAATATGCTATATATATCGGTCGAGAAACAACTCGATAGATCTCTCTTTCTCTCACTGTCACTGCCTAACGCGTGTTACTTCGTGTTCCGTGTTCGTTTCCCCTGCAAGCCGAGAGAATTTCTCTATTTCCGTTTCGTTTGCAGCGTGCACCGAATGGATTCACACCGGATGAATGATGCACCGTCATGAAGCGGATGTTCTGTTTGTACCTGTTCTATATACCGAGCTTCCCCGCAAGCACCTCACTCTGTATGTGTGTTTTGTGTGTCTGTGTACGTGTGTGCGGTCCGATGTACTTTATTCATAATTTATGTATACGTATATATTTATAGTCTACGTACGCGGAACGCGCACGTGTCGTTTATCGGCGACGATCAATGGAATTCTCGGAAAATGTTTCGCTTGTCCCGCTTGTTCATCCCTCTTTCTTTCCTGCGGGCTCTGCACGTTTGGACGTTCGGCGTTAGAGAACTTTCTGCGGTGTCGTAACGCGATTCCTATCTATTTTTTCTCGTTAACATTAGTTCGTTTTAATATCACTGAGAACCCGACGACACGTCGAGGGCTCGCGTGATCGCGATTCGATCGAATGTGCGCTGTGAGGTCGCATTTAAGTGCAATATACAGTTCTACAAAACATTTGATGAAGTATGTGAGAAGTTATGACTTGGAACTAAAAAAGAAACAAAAAATATTAAAGTAATTATTGTTTTTAATTTTCATAATTTGAAAAAGATATTTAGAAGAAATAATCCGGATTTATTTTGTTAATTATTTAGTAATGCCAAT